GAGAGAGAGAGAGAGAGAGAGAGAGAAAGAGAGAGAGAGAGAGAGAGAGAGAGAGAGAGAGAGAGAGAGAGAGAGAGAGCCCTGCAGCATGCAGCATGTCAGTGGTGGGAACTCGCCGGGGAGCACAAGGGCAGGCGCTGACCTACAAAAAAAAAAAAAAAGGTAATATTCTATTAGAGTACAAGAGTTCTTTTCTTTTCTAAATTTGAATACAACGCATACATGTGACGTTCAACCTCACGCCTGCACTGTCTTCCAGTCGGAGTGACAAGTTGCGTGGAATAGGGCCTGAAAGACAACAAAATAGGGTGTGCCAACGATTTTTGGAAAATTGAGCGTGGGGACACAAATGGAACGGAAGCCCCCCGCGTGGTTCCGACTTAGTGAGAAATGGGCATTGCAGCGCAGGAAGGAAACAAACGCGCACAATTTTCAAATATCCATCCAAAAAGTATCCCTGAGCCTCCGCGCGGGCTACCAGTCGTCTCTTCGAGTGGAAAGGCGAAGGTCCGCACTTGGGGTCTCGTTTTCGAATTTGATTCTGACGCCGCTCATTACCGAGCTCGGAATCCAACGTGGATGGCCTCAGCCTCGTTGCTCGTTCCTTCAGGTTGTGTCCGTCTTCACCACGTGTTCGGTAGTGGAACCTTCTTTTCCGATAACGCTCTTCGCGGTGACAATCGCTACATAGAGTGTTGGGCTAGTGGGGTGCTATCGCAGCCCACGAGATGACAATCAACTCGTTAAAAGGCAATAACAATTTGTACGGACGGAAGTGAGTATCGATAATGACAAAACCAGCACCTACGAATCCAGAGCACCTCGTCTCAGGTGGAAAATAATAGCGTCCACAAATCTTGGCGACGACTTCTGTACGTCCCACTCGCATGCATGTGTCCTTTCCTCGTTATACGGGAATGGCGGGGATGGGGATGCAGGGAGTCGGCACCCAGATGGTGTGAGGAAACACGGGGAGGGGTCACCTATTGTTCGCTGAAACCAGGGGCAACAGAGCCTGCCACTCGCTGCGCCTGCTTCAGAGGTCCTCAGTGACCAGCAGGGGGAGCAGCGTCAGCAAGTTTCTACTGCGCAACCGCTGTGGGTGTCGAATCCAGAGACCCACCCTGCTTGACACATTATGAGAATATTAATTGAAATAAATTTCATGGTTCTTCTTTCCCCAAGGTTGGAGCATGGGCGGCCTCTCCGAAGAGATTTTTCTTTTGCGTTGACCTTCCGAACCCAGTTCACACAGTCAGTTTCCAAGAGTTTCGAAGCTCCTGTCAAACAATCTTCCTGATTAACCGTTGTGGGTTTTCAAGCTCCCGCTCAAATCACGGCGAGCTCGACTCAGCAATAAGTACGCATATTTCTTACCAATCCTCTAGTCCTTAGGGTATCCAGGCAAGCCGAGACATCATTCATCTATGTAGTCAGATGATCAAAAACAAGCAGTCACGACACTTCTCAGAATACAGTAGAGATTCGAGGTCATGTTGAGATGAACAGGCTTCAGCAAAATAAATGAAGAATTAAAAAAAAAAGACAGGAATAAAAAATATATATATATCGTCACAAACAGAACTGCCTGGTAAACCGTAGGCAGAGAGAGGGAAGAGGACAACAGTTTCACCGACTCATCAGGAGGTTGAACCCTAACAGTCTGCAGAATCCCCTCACTGATTACACTGTAAATGATAATTTACCTTAACCAAAATCAAAGTA